TGGGCAACTTTTTTTCTGTCAAGCAAAAATTCCAAATTTGCCGGCGTTTGTGTTGGTGTTATCATCCACTCCCCATCAATATCTGCTCGTCCCAGTAAAAGTCTGTCCCTGGTTTATCAGGGGCAGAGCAAGTCTCCCACTTTATCTCGCATCCACACACATGCACACACACACTAACATACACATCCCTGTGTATCCTCTCTGAGCACCCGGTTTCCTTGCCGGGGGAAAAGAGAGGACTAGATGGACGGGAAGAGAGGAGACAGTGGGGATGTGACACAACAATGGCAGGAAGTGACTTCAGATCAATACAGATTAGTGGGAAAGACAACAACACAGCAGCCTGGAGCGCACAAACAGCTCCGGTGAGGAGATAAACATGCAACGCAAAACAGAGACAAGGAAATGTTGAAAGACACAAAGGCACGAGATCCAGATCCAGAGCATCATCAACCACCAAATATGAGTTGTACAATAAAACACCAATGACCTATTAGATATCATTTGGGGGTTTGATTTAACTGCATGTCACACTCTAAAAATGCATTGGAGGATACAATCTACAGTAGTTACACACTCTCCCATAGAGGACTGCTGCTGTAGTTATTTTACTAAAGTAAGGAAGCATTGTTTTGTATTTCAAGTGTGCACATTGACAATAATTACCTCCACCAAGGAGGATAAATGTTTGTTTGTTAGTTACTACTAAACTTGGTGGAAGGATGAGATACGGGTCAGGGAAGAATCCATTAAATGTTGGTGTGGGTCCGGATTAAGAGACAGGTTTTGTCTCACTAAATATTGTGCAATAGGCAATAGGGAATTTTTCAACATTAAATGATTTCTCAGGAAATAATTCATGGATCTAGATAGGGAAAAAAAAGTGGCACAGTGAGGGGACTGATATTTAACTGTGGCGGATGTATGTGCTTCACTCAGTGCCATTCTAGTTCTTTATCAGACAGCTTCAACAGCAACAACTATCAAGTTGCCTAGAATAGTCCACTTTTCTGCAACAGTGTATTTTCCAACTATTGCAAATGAACTACAACAAATACTAATTACAAGTGTTTGATTCAATTATTTGATAGCACTGAAACTGAATTAAGATTCTACACAAAGCAAACAAACACATAAACAACATGCACACTGGCACACAAAGACAATACAAGGGTCTTAAGACCTACAAAATAAAATACGGTCGTAAGCAGGAAGTTGAAACAGTCAACAGTGGGGGGCTGTTGGAGAGCAAAAAAAAAACTGTTCAACAGTTCAGAGGTCATAACAAGGTCCCCGAAAGTGAAAACCTGAGGCCTAGAGCTTGTGTAATGTGTAACCAGGAGCCTGCTCAACTTCAAACATTCTTAAATGGAGCGGAAAGTGGCCTGAATAATTGGACGATGTGATCTTTTACAGCCAGAGGCCTGTGTAGCTCGGTTTGATGGATCAGCTGTGAACAGGGAGAACTGACGGGGCAACACCAAGGAACAGAGAGATGCAGAAAACAAGATTTAACCTCCGCCTGATGGGAACAACAGCTCGGTCACTGCTCCGGAGTTGTAATGCACTAATGAGTCTTATGATTCATAAGACATTCAGCTGCTACATAAGGAGATGGGGGGGATCCCCAGCTGGAACGGAGAATGTGTGTGTCTGTGTTTTCATTTCCTTTAACAAATCATAATTTAGAGTCAGAGAATAAAGCTGATGGACCTGAGATCATTAGGGCTGCGTGTCCAGCTACTGTTATCCCGAGGAGAACCATAAAAGGACACACACACTTCCTGACCACCATCCATTGAACGGGCATCTGTCTGACCCCTGACACCTTCCACTCCAACTCCGCTTCCTGTCCCACACGTGCAGCTCGGCTACTTGAGGCTGTGCATCAAAGTCTGTTCCCCCAAAACAGGGAAGAATCCCAAACAGGAAGATGCACGAGGTCTCGGCCTGAGGGGAACTCCCTGCAGCATTATTCAACCTAAAAATGTTGAACTTTTACATCAACGTCCACATTTACTTCATACCCATACCAACAGAGTTCAGGAAAGCCATAGCAGCTGCAATCCAATGAAACTATCATTGTCGTTCAAACAGGTCACAGTCCAGTTTTTTGTCCCGTGCCCCTGACCTCTTCCCCTTCTAATCCAGCTTTAGGCAGAGGGCATGGGGGGCTGGTGGTGGAGGGCTGGTGGTGGAGGGCCGGGGATAAAGGTGCAGACCATCAGCCCTTGTTACCAAAAAGCTTTAGAGGAGCTTTGCAGCTCATGAGGCCAGACTTTAATCTCCCAGACGCTTCACACATATGGCCTTATGAGATCATCCACCTCACAACACCCAGCCACCCCCTCATAAACAGCTACAGTGTATAAACAGACATCACATGTGTGTGGTATCCATTTTCATGCCTATTGTAAATATACTTGGATCAACAAAAAGTAGGTGTGAACTGTGCTGACAAGAAAAACTCAAGTGTGTGACAGAAACTTCTTGAGGCAGCAAGATATGGTTGAAATGCTGGCCAGTGTAACTTCGGGTCAGGCGTCTTGCCCAAGGAAACTTCCGCATGGGGACTACAGGAGCTGGGGATTGAACACCTGACACACATCACACTTTTTTCCAACTCTGTCTTGAAAACTGACATCACAGATAAATACAGGGACAGTTTGAGCAGTCTCAATTAGAAAAAATAAATTTCTCAGTTATAGACTATGTACAAAACAGTATTTTTTAAAACTATATTTATATTCTTATCTTTCCACAGCTGCTGTGTTGGTCCAGGTGTGACAGATGTGTTTTATGGTGGAGTGAGATAAATATGAATGAACATGAATGCACACAGCAGATTATGTGATGTGGTTCTGATGTCTTCACACGTGCAGCTGATGCTTCTGACATTTAGGTCACTCAGACCAATGCAACCTTGAGCATTTCTCCTTCTGGATGGTTCCATTGAATTTCTGCTTCTGAATTCAAATTCAGACATGCCTGTTTGAGAAATGCCATTAATAGTGCTTTCCAAGATATTTCAGATACAACCCAATGTGCCAACTGCTGCTCAAAAATATTTATAGCTTGTGTGTCTTGCATGTTCAAATGCAGCTTAATTACGTTTTTGCTAAATTGCATTTTTCATCCTACGATCTTCACATCTTGGTCAGTCCACAGGGATGACATTCTACAAAAGCATTTCTCAGTGATTTCAGTGACACACAGAACTCAAAGCAACAGACTGAACTGGCCAATCAAATATGCACATTCCTGAGAGACTGCTTTGTATTGTGAACATTACAACCGTTGCAATATATTAATTTGTTGTTTAATCCTGTCACAGTATCATAAACCACTGTGCCGTATTTATCAGAGCCTGATGAGTCTTAAAGGTCGTGGATGCTCTGTTTCTCTCAAACTGGACTGGATCATATTTCATTTTCTCACTAGAGCATGACTGCACCAACACAGACCCTCGTGTTCATATTTATAACACAGCCACATTTTCAGTGTGAACTCAAACAAACAAGTGGGTGATAAAAATGGCCGACAAACTGGAAAGAATTATAAATATTTAAATGTTCTCAATATTATTATTCCATTGTTTAAAAGCTCACTATGGCAGCATGTTATATTATGATAGTTCTTTTTGAGTTAGCAAAAAAGCTAAGAAAAAAGCTGAGTTGCGAGAGACGCCGTGATGTTTTTACACACAACACCAAAGAAGCAACAAGCTATTGTTCTGTAAAGGCTACAAAATCTGCTCAGCCCTTTTCTGAGAGTGTGGTTATGGGGGCACGTCTGGGTCACGTCTCCTCCTCTCTGCAGATTAGCCATAAAGCCAGTCTCCCATTACACCCTCCCTATAGTCTCAGCTCGGGGTCTCGCAAATGTCCCCCGAGCACCACCAGCACAGAGAGTGACGGACAGACAGGTGGGGTTGTGGGGTCGTTGAATTGAGGTGAAGGGTGGAGTTGGGTTGAATATGTGTGGACGAGCTTTCGTTGTTTACAGATAGTGAAAGGCGCAGAGACGATGATGAGAGGAGGCAGAAATACAAAAATGCTCTAATGACAGGCATCCTCAGACAAAACACGCAGAATGCATCACAGAAATAGATAAAAGATGAGCGGAAGCATTTAGGGTAAGCCATTAAGATGCTATTATATCCATCCACATCCATCTTAAATTAAATAAAACGGTGTTTTATTTCTCTGCTTGGGTAAATTAAAATATAGGGGAGCGCATTCTTGGCTGTCATGTTCTTGGACTGCAGCTGAACCTTGTCGAGGAAGAAGGAGGCCTGTATACACTCCATTCAGTCACCAAAGGCAAATGGCTGGGTGAGACGCTGTGGGAATTCAACCTATTTGAGATGCAAATTCCTCAAAGAGCTGAAAGAGCCGGAGAAACAGGTGTCCGAGGAAGTGTGCTGCAGTGTGGGTGTGTGAGGGCGGGTGTGAGGGCGCTGAATGACAACACAGGGTGTATTGAAATCCTGCTCGTTCAGCGCAGTCTGTGTGGCACTTCATCTCTTGTCTCGTTTTCTTTGTTTCATAGAAGGTGCAGGCAAAAAGAGAAGAAACTGGTTGTCAGAGTAAAAATGGGAAATATGAAATATATGCAAAATCCAAGAAATTAATTCATTAATTTATTGATTTATATGTAATTTGGTACAAAAACATATCAAATCACAGAAAAACAGTAGAGCTTGCAAATGTACGAGCCCCGAGCTGAATCAGTTTCATCTTTGAATACAAAATACCCCAAAATCTTTATATCCTGTATCCTTCAGAGTAACAACAGTTTTATAATATTCTCTGGATGAAGCTCAGTGGCACCATCTACATGACAGAGCATAAAACTCTACAAATGCATGTGGTGTTTTTACGACAGATTAGAACAAAACGTATTAAATCTAAATATCAAAAGCTTCAGAGAACGTGGCAAAGAACAGTGCTTCCTAAATGACCCAAAAATAAACCCGTAGCATATATTTAAAAAAAACCTTTTTTTTTCAAATCAACACATACCCATAACCATTTTTCATTACTTAAAAAAACTTTGACACCAACTGAATTTCCAGGAATGGAACTATTAATTGTTGAGTGCGTATGAATTCACTTCCACTCAAACCATTTCTTCATTTGTAACTTCCAAAATAAAATAAGTGTCTATAAAAGCTATTTGGTTATTAATAAACGTTTATGGCTCCCTTGACTTTTAATATGTTGAATTGCTCAAATGTTGTTTTTAAACAGTTTAGGTTAATGTCTTCACAAAAGTCCTTCGCATGGAGGTCCAAAGAGAAATCCTACAAATCATGTGGAGGCATGAATTTCATATAAGCGAGCGTGTCTGTCTACAACAGTTTAAGATTTGTAAAAAACTGGACTTCATATTAAGTTTGCAGATTCTTTCCGTTATTTTAAACTGTGGAAAAATATAGATTTCATGGTTTTAGGTCTAAAACCAAAAAAAAAGGAAAACAGAACTTTTTGAGGATTTAAAAATTACGATTCTCAGGCCGCCGCAAAATAAACAATCTCCCAATACCATCAGATAAATCTGTATATAAAGTATAAAGACCTGCAAACCATTTAATAAGATTGTACAAAACAGCTGTGTATTAGCATTCTTCAACATAGCTCATTCATTACATAAATATAAACCTATAAACTCTCCCAAATTAATAACAATTAAATACTGTACGACAATATAATTGAATAAACTGTTTGGAAAATATATGTTTTGAAAAATATGCAATAAAAATCTTTGGCTTAGTGGCATAAAACATCCCTGCACACTTTTCCTTCATTAGAGAGTCACTTCGCGTTTAACAGTTCTTCAACTCATTAGATTTCTGCTGGTCGCTGCTGTGGCACAGAGTTAATCTCACAGCGCCCTCAAGTGTTCAAACTCACAGATGCAGCACAAAAGTCACTAGACCGTGCAAAACAGACGCGCTCATAAACTGTGTCGAACACAGCCGGACAAATACAAATCTCTGTGTTGGCTAACGTAGGCAAAGAGGAAGACTAGAGAGGCAAAGTGCTCCAGGAAAGATCTCATCGATTAAGACAAAATCAGACTTCATTTATAACTAAGGAGAGAATCAGAGCTTTACTTTGAGCAGTGAATAGCAGCAGTAGCTTTTAACAGTGAGGTTCTGAATGTAATCCTGCATGTTCAGTCATATGATGCTGATATTCCCACTCACATAAACCTCACAGACTGTTGAAAAGTGCACACAGTCGCCACCTGCTGTTGCTCCCTGGCACTCACACTTTCTTGAGTGCCACTGGTTTTTTAAAATACAGCCTAAAGTTCTATGGCTGTACTACTTCAGTAAAACAAAGTAAATATCAACCTGTACGAATGAAGTTGCCACTGAAAATGTTAAGTAGTAAAGACATTTTTGTCATATGTGAAAATGTAATTGTTTTCAATTGTTCAAATTTAACTTTAAATTTAACAAACTTTTCTTGGAGTGGCATGACAGTAAAAATAGAAATGTGAAGTGGTGGAGGTTTGACATGTCTCTGCGACATGTGTGACTGAATGCTGCTGAGTCAGTAAAGGCTATATGGAACGATTTGTGTATGTAAACTGGTGTGAAACTTACCCTGCTACAGGTAAGTGTCATGCTCTGTGCTGCTCAGACTCTCTTTGGACTCTTGGAAGGTCATGTGTCTGAGCAGAGGTGAGGGGTCAGTGGGAGGAGGATATGGATTAAGTGTCTCCTGTGGCGATAGGATTGTCTCCTTCTGCTGTTCCCTGTTAGTCTTTCTATTTCCCTTTGCATCCTCAGCTTGCACCGCGTCTGTCGTAGTTGCCAGGGGAGACGCAACGATGATTGTGGGCCTCTGTCTCAGGTCCTGCCGGCTCGGAGGCTCGGCAGCCATGATGGCCTTGGCACCGTGCATCCTGGGAGGGGACTTGCAGTGTAGATCTCCGTGACTCTCCTTCCAACGCCGCAGCTGAGCGTGATGCTCCCTCTCGATGTCTTTCTCAGACACCGATAACTCTATAATCTGAGAGACAGGGAAGGAATAAATGTGAACGTGAGGTAATGTCCGGGTTTTCCAGCAGATAACACGTTAATGTTTTGTATTCACCATTAACACAACAGAAGGGCAAAGTCCAAGCAAGATTCCTGCACCTATAGGGGAATCTGAGTGTGCATTAGGTGCTGAGTCAAAACAATAAAATGTAAAACACATGAAGTCAGCAGGTTTAACCGTACCTCGTGCACCAGGAACCTTTCTTGCATGTACTGTGGCTGTATGGCTCGGAGCAGCTCCATTGTTTCATAGAGACCTTGGCAGGACTTCAGTTTCTCTTGGGATCCCAGCATGCATTTCAGGAGAACCAGGCCCACCTTGAACAGGATCTTCACTCCTGAGAAAGGATTCAGATGCAGCTAAAGAAGTGGTTTGCACTTTTATTTCAAGACCAAATCGTAAAACACTGTTCATGCTCTGCTGTCGCACAAGTGCAACTAAAGGGGAGGATGATGAGAACATGAGAGGACCTTGAGAAAAGGTTAATACTTATTTAGTGTTTTGATCTTAAACACTAGAGTTAGTTTAGATACATAATAGCAGGTAGAAGAGACTCATGATCGAAACAACAGAGACATATATTGAAATTAAAAGACGGGCCAAATGTAAAACTTGCTCTATCCGCTATCTTGCTGAAACACCCCTTTAATAAATGTCCTACTTCTCACTTCATGGTGTATTAATGCATCAGTGAGTAACGTGAAAGTGTGTTGCTGGGTCATCTCACCCTCAAAAAGGAACATATCCCAGACGCGCAGCACAGAGGCCCACGGCAGAGTGCGAGAAAAGGCACACATGAACCACTCGGTCATGTACAGGATGGGCTCCAGCTTGTGCTTCTTCAGGTGACCGTGGGCCGCAGGAGACACCCGCCGCAGCAGAGCGTACAGGATCTCCCCGTCCAGCTGGATCGCCTCCTGTGGAGACGACATGGAACAGCAACCAGTGAAGGAAAAGAAAGAGAGAGAGAGGGAGCGAAAGTGAAAGAGGGAACAGACTATTCTCTCTCTGCCTAATCTGATTGTGTGATTATCTCGTCCTTGTTGCCTGGTCACCACCTCGACTTGTTAGGTTGTTAGTATATCAAGCAGAGACACACTGGCCTGGGAAATTCAACACCACCACAAGCAATGTATTATGACTACGGACTTTATAAAATGAATGCTTTGTCCGGCTATATCAGGTGATGCTGACAGGAAGTTTAAAAGGTTAAATCTACGTTGGAAAAATAAATGCTGGGCAGTGTAAAGGTTCAGTCCTATAATGTGGCAGAAATCCACTTGTCTTCAGAAACCCAGTGTCATTTAGCAGCAATATTGTGCATTTATACTTACAATACACGACAGATTACTTTGAGAAAGATATATAAGGTTCATGGAGGTGATAAGTGATAAGTGTTTAATACTATGAACATGTGACGTTCAAGCTCTTCTTCATACCAGCCCTGTACTGTAGTATCCTGGAAGGTATTTTTCACATATCTGGACAAGAACCCAGAATGCATCCTAGGACAAAGAAAGGAAAGAGAGC